CCCGAAACATTTCTTTGTCGTTTATTCCTGCTATAATATCAAAGTAATTATTTGGATGTCAATGGCACCTTCATTTTTTATACAGTTGACTTTTTTTAATTTAAAGTTAGCCAAACAGTAACAATTTGTGTATTGCGTATTTTTTAATGACGTGGCAAACCAAAAATATATTTTTTTGTTTTTTCGATTTACTCGATTAAATTGACATGTTTGAAATTGGATCTATAGAAAAACAAGTGTATAAAGAGTATTATTTAATTCAGATAATTTTTATTTTTACTCTTTAAAGTACATTAAAATACAAATAATATGTATAATTGTTTCATTTGGCTGGTATAAACTATACAATTGATAATAAAGTTTAAGAACATAAAACAAATAAGTAGATGTATAAAACATAAAAAAATGATTTTCAACTTTGAGATAATAATATTCAAGTTATATTGATAAAATAAACTATTATTTGGTATTGAATTAAAAAAATATAAAAATATTTATTAAATACTATAATCTATAATCATTTTAATAAGAAATAATAATTTACAAGTGAAAAAAAAAACAAAGGAAATTACAGTATGTGAGAAAAGTATGTGAGAATGAGAAAACCCTGTGGATTCAACAAAAATTACATATTTGTTTTTCTTTTTTTAAATAAAATTGTTTTTCTTTAAAAAAAACAATCTAAATAATATAATTATGAGCTCCAGGAATGTTGCTTTTAGTGGCTTAGACCATACAACACTTGAAAAGAATTTAAAGTATTGTCCTGGTCCAGTGAAAGAAATAGCCCAAAGAACATTCAGCAAACATTGCAACTTTTGTGAATTGCCCCTGAATGTTCAGGTGTATTTGATGAATATTGAAAGAGAAATTTTCAATGGAATGATTACGGAAAAGGTGACCGAGAGTAAACTATGTAGAGTCTTTGCTTTATCTTAAAGTCAGTTAAATATCAACAAACAAAGAGGTATGAGACGGCATTGTTTGGGAAAAAAGGATAATGGACGACCGTCATTTCTAACTGTAACACAATGGGAAACTGTCAAGAATTTGATTCTTGATAATGAAAAGTTTCAAGGAAAATGCAAAGTTATCAGCATAACTCTTTTGAGGTTGTTTATAATAAAAACCTTCAACGTTGATGTGTCAAACCACGTTGTTTATGATAAAAAACATAAAAATTGGAACTTCTCGATTATGACTGTGTTTGCTGAAAACCAATCAATTGATTGACCTACGACGAAGATGCCGTTTTGAAGTATTACATTGCACTGCAACTTTTTTAAATGGCATCCCATCACAATTTATTTTGAATTTGGATGAGTCAGGGTATCAGCCATGGCCAGACAGGCAAATGGTGAAGGGAGTATTCACTGCTGGTTTTTCCACAGACAGTAAAATGAAATATGGAGTCGAACGTGACATTGCTCGATCCACTGTCGTTTGCACTATTACCCCCTCACAACCTCTTCCTTGTATGATTGTAACAAAATACAAAAGAGTTGCAGTTGAATTCTTGAAATTGGGTTGGATGGAAACAGGAAACATTGTCAATTATAGCAAAAACGGTTTTATCAACAGTGACTTATTTATACAATACATCAACTACGTTGTAGTACCTTATATTGTCGACACGAGAATTAAGACTGGTTATATTGATAAGGCTGTTCTGATATTTGATCAGTGAACGTGCCACTCAATCGAAGATGTGAGGTTGTTGCTCAAGCCGAATGTCCAAGTCAACGAGAAAATCATCAATGTGAACTGTGAAATCGTATGTTTGGTGCCTCACACCTCACATTTAACACAACCATTAGATGTTGGGGTGTTTGCAGCCTAAAAAAGAAGACTGAATTTGTTGTATGCGAAGTTCAGAGAAGTCATAAAAATTAAAGATAGAGTTGGCGAGGAAGAAACAACAACGACAGAAAGTGAAGAGTCAGATGATGTGATTGGAAACCAAGATCCCATTGAAGATCCTATAATACCTCAACAGTTTAAGGAAATGTTTCAGGAAGTGCTGGCAAATCCACAAGAAGCGATATCACCATTTAAAAAGAAGGCTGTTACGACTGTCAACGAAAGGATGGTGGATGACAACCAATCAGAAGATCACAACGAAATACCAAATGAAACTAAAACTGTTGAATTTGGTGATGGAGAGGATTTAGAAAAAAAGTTTGCCAAATACCTCAACTCAATTCTGAAGTCTTATTTCCAAACAACCACTCCGGATGTGTGCACGCAGGATTTTAGGCAAGTTGGTATTGATTTCAGAATTGTTGATAGTGGTATGAGGGTTGCGTATGTGGATATTGGAGTGTCACGCAGAGTAACAGCAGAAATACCGAAACTGTTAAGTATACCACAGTTATACTCGATTGAATGCGTCAAAACCAAAAGCTTGAAAATATCTGCAGTTCGAAAGCTTCCAAGGTGTTTTGAAAGTTATTTTTGTCAGTCTGTTTGCAAGCTGATCAAAAGAAAAATAAAAATGGGATGTTGTATGTAAAGTTGTGAAGAAAAAGACGACCAAAAAAAATCTCAAAAAGAACTAAAAATGGGGTTGAGAATTTAATCGATTGATTTTTATCTTTTTAATCAGTTGTATCGCCGAGTTCACATTACTGTTTGCTATCACGGGGTCAAAATGGTCACTGATTGGATCAATACATGTCTGAACTGTCATAAGTCCTTTCAATAAAAGATATTCGTTTGTTAAACGTTCTTTCGTTATTGAGATATTAACTTGTAGAACTTGCTCGCAAAAACTCTTAAATTAAACGTTGCCTGCTTTGAATCGTCTAGCTGCTATGGCTGATTTGTCCAGTATTCCTGGGATTCTTTAGCGTGAGGTCTGAGTCAGTTAGTTGGTAAGTGCTGGCTGGCTGTTCACACTCTGAAAGCTGCTTTGTAGGTTTCCAAACAAATTGAAAGAGAAAATGAACTGTAAATAAGTGATTTTTTTATTTGATCTTTTTGAATTTTTTGAAATAAAAAAATAATAAATTTATTACATAAAAGTTACACAA